CGTGGAGAAGTAAAAAACAAAGTGTGGTGGCTAGATCTAGTGCTGAAGCAGAATATAGAGCGATGTCTCATGGGGTTGCTGAAATCATGTGGATAAGAAATYTRTTAGGTGAAYTRGGTTTTGYARTGAGCAAYCCTATGTCACTCTACTGTGACAATAAAGYTGCCATCAATATTGCTGCTAATCCAGTCCTGCATGATAAGACGAAACACATTGAAGTGAACAAGCATTTTATTAGAGAGAAACTTGTAAATGGAGAAGTGTGTACTCCATATGTCAGATCAGAAGAACAACTTGCAGATATCTTCACCAAAGGTTTTCATCATGTGCGGCACAATGATTTGTGTGACAAGTTGGGCATGATTGACATCTATGCTCCAACTTGAGGGGGAGTGTTGAAATAATTTAGTTATTTGTGTTAGGGTCTATTTGGCTAGTTAAAGCGTTTTTTATTTCTGTTATTGTACTCACTTACAGTAGGGGCACAAAGGTCTTTTCCCTTCTTATTTCTGCCGCCCTATATAATATAATAAAAGTTGGCGCCGCCAACACTGTTCTATTGCTCCAAACTTTTTCTTCTTCCTTTCTTCCTTCTCCTTTCTCTCTTCTTTCCTTCTCTTCTCTACTTTCTCATATTTCAATCGGATTTATTGTCAAGAGGGTGTAATTGGAGCTTGCCAGTAGAAGTACAGTTGATCTTTGACCAATCTACCTTCAACTGGCCTACAAAAAGAGGAAATCAATGTGGAGATGTGCGAGAGCAGCCTTGATTTGGACAATATGGGAAGAAAGGAATGATAGAATAGTTCAAGAGAAGGAAAGAAATAACCAACAACTAAAAGATTGTGTATTGAATAGGGCAATACAATGGTTGGAGACTTTGGACCTGTTCCATCAGTTCTCCTTTAATGACTTTTGGAGAAACTGGTTGGCAATAGCGAGGTGCTCTTTCATCAAGAACAGGGTAATCCCAAGATGGTGTCCTCCGGCTGAAGGCTCACTGAAACTGAATTTCGATGGTAGTAGCTTGGGCAATCCAGGGCTTCTGGAATTGGGGGGGGGGGTCTGAGGAACGAGCTTGGAGAGGTTGTTCTGTTGTACTCGGGCCCTTTGGAACTTGGTGACTCTGTTAGGCCAGAAATGCTAGCTGCTGTACAAGRGGTGCAGTTTGCAAACCAAATGGGGGTACAGCAACTAATTATTGAGGGGGACTCAAAGGTGGTGGTGGGCTGGYTAAGGAAACCTGATGAGACTGTTTGGTGCTATARGAACAAAGTTAAGAAGATTAAATGGCTAACAAGGAATATGTCAGTGTCTATTCAGTGGGTGGAAAGATCAACAAACGTTTTGGCTGATGTGTTAGCCAAGCAAGGGGCAAACAGGGAAGAATTGTTTTGGGCTCAGTTGTGATTCCAGTAATCTTTTCCAAACTTCTTTGTATTATGTCAGGAGAGGCTGCAGCTCATGCCTCTCTAAGGGATCTTGTATGAGGCTGTAATTCTGAATCAGTTTCTGTTTTAATAAAATTGCATTATTACTCATCAAAATAAAAAGATAAGGATGGAATGGAAACCTCCAGAAGGAAACAAAGTAAAATTGAAGTTTAATGAAATCTCCTTTGGATATCCAGGTATGGTAGGAATAGGTGATGTGTTCACAAATTTCAAAAGCAGGAAATTAGCTCTATTTTCAGGACCTATTAGAATGGAGAACTCATTGAAAGCTGTATTATTGGCTTTGCTGCAAGATCTTCAATTAGCAAAACAATTGGGTTACAGACAGGTGGAGGTGGAAGGGGATTCAAACTTCAAAGCTAATTGTTTCATGGGCTAACTGTAACAGACATATTCCGTGAACTCTTATACATGCTTTTAGGGAAGTGGAAAGTATTGTAAAGGACATAAATGCTGAATTTAAAATGGGAGAGAAGGACTTTAAATGGGTTAGTTTTAAGGCAGCAATTGTTTTTTTTTTTTTGGAAAAGGTAAAGTAATATTTAAGGCAGCAATTGTTTTGAGCTGCTATGTAATCCTGAGTGTAGTTTTTTGGGTCAGCAGGCCTGTCTCCTATATGTACTAACTTCATTCCTCATTTATTATAATAAAATCTTTTCTTCTGCTGATAAAAAAAGAGGAACCTATAACCTCTGTTTTTAGCCAATTAAGAATAGATAGCAAACTAGAGAATTACCCGAAAATCAATCCTCTCAATTTTTGATGAATGTGCCTTTGCTACATCTTTCCCAAATGATATGATCCTTCCATAGTTCACACTTTTTACTTGACAGTCCAGACTCTCTGTGTTATTATGGTCTGGAACTTGAGTATCATTGCTTCTTTGTTTTTTTGGACCACAGTTATAGCCTTCTTCGGGTGACCAGTCCAGAGTGCCCCAGATGGTGTCTCCGCCCTTTGGAATCATTGACATGGTTGAATCCCAAGTACGAGTCATCCGCATTACATGTTGTAAAGTTTGAAATCCAAATACATCTTTATCCAAAACACCTGGTGCAATTGCCCTGCACAAAGGGTACCATTTAGTTCAGAATTCAAAGCATGCTGCAGTCAAACAAATATACACATTTTCATGCTAAAAAACAATCAGAAGATTCAGAAGAAGTAATAAACCTCAATAGTATGTGACTAATATAAGTTTTTTGTTTGTTAAGAAAGAACTTAATGTGTTTACTCATTTGCTAGTTGTACTTGTATCTAGCCTCAGTCAATCTGTCTGTCAGTCTGTTCAGTGTGGAATCATGTCCCACTTGAACGGCTGAACCTATTGCAAAGCTTTTTATAGTTTCCATATAACTTTGAAGCCAAAAATAAGTGTCTGATTGTCAAGGAAGATAATAAATTTAAAAATGAGAATAAAGAAAACATGGATTCTTTTTTTTTTTTGAGAAAGTAATATATTAAAGATTCCTAAAATTTCAAGAAACATAAACATACAAAAGGTGTTAGAGAACTCATTATGCTATGGATATAAACAATGACTTTTGAAGAATATGAGGAGACACATTCCTAAAATTAACAATAAAACCTTAAATGCTCATTCTGTTATTTATCAAAAAAAATCTCAAATGCAAAATAGGTAGGTTATCTTGGATCACAGTACATAGACAAGGTTTATAACTATGTACCACAATGTATGAATTTAAGTGCACAAAATCAAAGGTAAGTGTGAACAAACAGTCTCTGCAATTATTGGACTAACATGGTTTGAACATTAAGCTTATCTTTTTTATTGTTATCAGCAACCGTTTTGAACATTAAGCTTATCATGTCAAAGAGAAGAAGAACCATATCATACTTTATCTTTTTAAATGAACAACAATAGGCTCATACTTAAATAACATTTTGTGAATCCCACTAAAAATAAGTTGGTATAGTTCACAGTGAAACACAATTGGCAATGAAAGCCTGCTCATTAATAATAAAAGACTACTTCAAGTGCCTTGGGAACAAAGTAAAATAGGCCTTAATATGTCCAGTGTTGCAAGTCTTTTGCTTGGGTTACAAGAAGTTTGCACACTTGGAAGTGATACTTGGAAAATTTTCGCACATAATGCAGATACAAATCAGAACATGATGACTGTTTAATACTACAAGCTTCATAGTAGTTAAGCAGAACAAACCTGGCAACAGCAATGTCCCTGGCTTCAGAAGAGAAAAGTCCCGATACTGCTTTTGGAGCACCTAAAAATGGTCCACCTATGTTCATTACTGCCTTTATATGCTTAGCGCACCAATCTGACCCACCCCCACCACCCATTGGAGCTGGTGATTCAACCCACTTCATAAAATGCAAAAAATACAGAACTCCCATTGAATGTGGAATGACAACTACCTTTTTCCCACCATTTGTAGCTACCATGAGTTCTATATTACTTTTTATCCTGCTGAGGGTCTGGTCTCGCACCTGATAAATGCAGTTTAACAAAAATGTATAAACTGATTACACAGAAACCCATGAACTACCACTACAGAAGAAAATAAGAAATACATACCGCAAAGAAATACAAGATGCACAAACATAAATGGCTTAAATGAAATTTCCAAAAGCATACCTCCGTGTTCTGAAATGAGAGCCTCCAGTCATAAGAAGCCATGTACATGGTTTTCTCCTCATATCCAATACGAGCCAAATTAGCAATCAGAACTGCCCAGACAAAATAGCCAGGTGCAAAGTAATCTGCTGCAACAAGTCCCGGGACAGGCCTAACTCGTATACCGGGAGGATCCAGTCCAGTTTCATTGTCCAGTGACATGTGCTCAACCCAACATAAAGGTCTGTTGATGATCCAAACAAACACAGTGCAAGGAATTTTTCTAAGTAGTCACTTCACATATGTACTGTTAAGCGTTGCTTGTCTAGATCAGCCAATATAATCCAAATATAATCAAATGCAAAGGAACAAAGAATGCAGAATATTAGCATGACAAATGGGCCAAATCATCATAGTCCGAAATTAGGGAGGATATGTGAGGAAAGTAGCCTAGATTACATCTGGATTACCCACTATAGAAAAAGGGAAAAGAAAATGCAAGTTCATCATTCCATTTGACTAACTTTAAATAATTGAAAGCAAAGCTGTGCTTCAGATGTCATCAAAATTATATATATATATATATATATATATATATATATATATTCCATTTTCATTCGATGATAGCTGGGTCTTATGTTACAATTCATCAAACCTGACAATGAAACACCTTAAAAGGGAAACAGTCTGAAATTTTCACAATTTGCGTAAAAATAACATCTAATTGGTTAGGATCCAAAGATTTTTGCGTTCCTTAAAAAAACTACGGGACAATTGAAAAATCTCCCCCATGTGTCCGGTCGAAATTATGGGAATTTCATCATACGGAATTCTGAAAATTAGGCTAATAGAATGTGTTAAAATTGCCGTCAATATTCGTAGTTAAGGAAAAAGGAAAAAAAAAAATATTACCTCTTATATACTTCTCCAAATGTACCACCCCAAAGCCGCTTTCTGAACAACCCATCAGCGCACTGGTGCCCTTCCCAAAGCTCGAGGCCACCGGTAACGATCCCAGGAACGAAGACCACCGGGTGCTTCGCCCTCAACCCCTCTTTCTGCAATTTCACGCCGGGCGGATCGGGCAGTGGCCCGGTAATGGCTTCGGTGACATATTGAGGAATCGATGCCGGCATGGCATTATAGAGAAACAGTAGAAACCACCAAATCGAGCAGATGCAGCCAATAAACCAGCAGCAGCTATTAATGCAAGACCATTTCTTCTTCTTCTTTTTCACCTTCTCTTTCTCCTTCTCCTTTTCATTACCGTCGAATTTGCTTTCAATCTCTTTACGATCACCCAAATTGGAAGTTTGCTCGATTTCGGAGGCTTTTCTACGCCGCAGCATCGACATATTCGTTTCCTCCTTACTCTGTTCCTTCCCTCCTTACGTTGTTAACGTTGCTGCTCCTATTGGTGGGAATTGGGAAACCAGACGAATCTTTCTTCGGTAAATGATTGATAGAGTCTAAGCTGCATTGTCGAATCCTCTTCGCCTGGTTTCTTTCTATATATATAAACTTCTCAAACCCTAACCTACACTGGCGTTGTAGTCTCCATCGTTCAGAAACGAAGACACCGTTTGTTGTTGCAGCAGCAACCTGAAGTCACGAATCGGAGTTTTCCTGCCAGGAAAGAGTGGTAGTTTGTCGTTGGAGCCGCCGAAGTCCTGAGAGGCTCCGCCTCAGCTGGGCTTTTTTTATGTAGGGAGACACATTATAGAATATAGTGTGAGAGCAGAAGAGACGGATCGTTTTGGGGCGTTAGATGAGTGAGATTGAACATGGCTTGGCAAAGTCGGTTGGAGCTTTGTATGTGGTCTGAGCGTAAGGAGAAGTTGGATGTCATATGGGAATGGGACGATCGATGACGTGGAAGAGTAGCTGGCGTTGGAGATATGTCAAATATGTCCATTGCCATTGGTCAGGCGGAACGGAAGACTGCCGTAGAAGAGTTCGGATTTTCAGTAATTCCTGCACCAACAGATCTGTGACAGGCTTTAGTTTTCGGAACCAGTGTAAAGTTCTGCCACACTTTCAAATCAGAGTATGACAGGTGTCCATTACACTACGTTAATATTAAATAAGGTTATATTATCTGAAAATTCTCCGTCACTTTTTTTTTTTGTGTGTGTTAGATTAGTGAAATCTCCCCTAAAATTTGGTAATTGCAATTTATAACACATCTGCAAGTTGAGAATCCTCTAAAAAAGGGAATTTAAAGTTGCACATTAGCAATTTTATATAAAAGGCAAATTTAAAAGAGTTTGAAAATAAACATTTTGGTAAAAGTGATGCATAATTTTTTTTTTTTTTTGACATTTCCATACCTCGTTTTAGAGGATTTTAAGAGAGGGAGGTCATGTTAGAAAATTTATGGAAGATGATTGGAATTACTTAAGACGAGGTTTTAGCAACAACCAGAAACTACATGGGAGATTTTAGAAATTTACCCGGGGGTGTTTGATATCATTGCCAATTCCTTCCAGCGTTTGTGAAATGGTGATTTTTCAGAAATCGCCAGTTTTGGTTAGGGCTACTACCAATGGGGCAGGTTCGACCCGAGGGACCCAAACTGATTGGGGCAGTTTGGAACAAATTGGTCGGTTATGAGTCCTGATATAATGTTCTAATTATTATTGGTTTGGAACTGGTTTCATCCACTTTCGAACTGATTTAGACCTGACTTGAGTTATTTACATATAATATATATAATGTATAATATATTAGATAAATTATATATAATATATATTAAACGTATATATTTATTTATTTCTTAAAATCGGGTCCATCAGGTCAAACCTAATTGTCCTAATAATTGATCGGTTCAATTTTGGGTCTAAAAATTACATACCATATCGGGTATGGTTTGGTTCCATGTCCTCAATATTCCTTGTCAAATTGGTTCTGATTCTAGCATATCCCAACCTAACCCGTTGACAGCCATAGTTTTGATTGTTTAGTACCGCTCTTGCCATGTAAGCTGATTTATGAGAAATTAGCAATGAGTTCTTTTAGGATAATTGTCTTTAGGGGTGTCAACGGTATTCGAAAATACAATTTCGAATTTGATATTCAATATAATTGAATCAAATTCGGATAATTTGAATATCTAATCGGACGAATTCGAATATCATATTCATACCGAATGGTTAATTGGATTCGAATTTGGATATGACCTTATTCGATTCAATAAATATCCAAATTAGACTGATTATTTAATTCTTATATATAATATATAAAATATTTAAATGTCTTATATAATTTATATATATAATAATTAAATTATATAAATAATTTATATATTTATAATCTTTATATAAATTTTATATAGTTATTAATTACCTAAAATAATTAATTAATCGAATTCGAATCAAATCGAATGTTGGAATATTTAATCGGATTCGAATTCGAATATTAATTGTTAATATCCATCGGATATCGAATTGAATTATGATATCAAATTTTCTAGTTGTATTCGAATTCGGGTATTGCTTGATCTGATTCGAATTTGATCAGTTTGCACCCCTAATTGTCGTTTGTGTACATGTTGAATGCCATGCCATATTTCAAAAAAAAAAATCATTGAATTTCGTGATTCTTTATCCAGACTTGACTTCAATAACCAAATTTAGGCCAAATTTTTTTTTTTTAAAAAGAACTCTAGAACCAATCAATCAAACAGCAATTGTCATTATGGCTTTGAAGTGCCATCAATTTTTGAGAAATTTGGAAATGATGCCAAACATTACCTTTTTATTTATTTATTTTTCCTGGCTCAGTCCCATCTTCCTTACATACTTTTCAAAAACTCCATTGGATCATGGACAACCCCTACCCTCACCCCTTGAGGTCAAGGAATTTTTGTTATCAATAACTTACCTTTCTTTATGGCCTCTTCGTTTTCATTTTTCGGTAAGTTATTTGGGTAAATGTATTTAACGAGTAAGTGTTTCTTGGGAAAGACTTATTTAGGTTAGTGCATTTACTTATGTTCTTTTATTTTCCATGTAAATAGGATAATAATCATTTTAGTCATAAAAATCAATATTAAAAGGAGTGTTTTTGTCCCATTCAAGTGTTGGCAACTTTCCCCCTAGGTGGAAAAGTTATTTATCCACCTACGATATGGGTATCAATTACCCGAGTAAGTGAAACACAAGAAAATAAACTTTCCCTAACCCCTACATAAATCTAAAAAAAGAATATAGAATTCTTGGTCAATGAGAATCAAAATCACATCGACCAACTTTCCCCCTCTCAAAATTCATAGAAAGAACACCCCCTATAAACCATCATTGGTTGTTACAACTCAAATTGGCTCAAGTTATAACTTGAGTTTGGGCCTTTAAATCAGGTCCATTCAAATTTTAAGAAATGACCTATTTTACTTGTCCAAGTTGCACCCCTAGTGACCATTAACAAAAGTTATTCGAGTTGACTATTAATTATTTTTGAATCATTTAAACTAACCTCGATCCTAAATAATAATTGTTTAAAAAAGTAAACACATTAGAAAATAAAACAAAAATATTTATTCTTTTACCTTCCTCTAAAACTCTCGAATGGATTACATGATAAACTTCATATTCCCACAATCTTTATTCATAGCAAGCTCAAAGATATAATAAATTTATAAAAGGCCTTCATCTTGTAATGATTGATCTCTAATAGTTTTTTATAAGAAAACAAACAAATAAAATAGAGGGGTAGCACGTCCCCAAGTTACTCAAATAAATAAAATAAAGGTCTCTAAAAAGATTACAATATTGAAACTTTGAAAGAAACAACACTATTAGGAGAAGAAAGATCTTTATTTAATTTGCTGTCTGATTCTTTCTCTGTACACGTGCCCATATCTCCTTCATCTAATAGGTTTAAAAAGTGATGGTAAGGTAAAAAATTGGAGAAAATGGAAGGGAAGATGGTTTGTTGACCGATAGTTCAAGGTTCAAATTGTATGGTAGACGGGTTGCTGGCTGAGTCAATAATGTTGTATAAATATAGCGGGTTAGAGGTTAACTCAAATCGATATTTTTGTAATTATTTTATTTTTATTAGTTATTTATTTTATTTTTATTATGATATATTTTTAATTATTGTGCATTTTCGTTATAAATTTTTAATAATGATTGGAGATTGAACTACTTTTATTTATTAAAGATTAAAATATTAATTTAGATGACATTAGGAGTGTTGTTCATGGCCTGGTTTAGTTCGATTATAAGTTATTTGGCCAAGTAAATCGACATGGTCAGGTTGGGGAGTTGGTTCTTGAAATCTGCTGACCATTAGTGACAACCAACTAAATCGGGTTGTATTGGTTTGTGTTGATTTTCGATTTGCTCAATTGGTTTAAAAGATTACATTGAAAACTTAATTTTAAATTTTAAAAATTATATTAACATTATTAAAAATAAATTTATAATATAAAATATTTGAGACTAAGAAATGTGGGAATTTTCTCACTTTCCCTTATTAAAAAATTATATTTAAAATATAAAAATATTAATATATATTTGTGATTGGGTCATTCAATTTTGGTCAATTTACAAATGGCCACAATGGAACTGATCTCAATTTCAACCGAAAATATTAGAAACAGAGCAATTCAGGTTGAATTGGTTGGTTTTATTAATTCGATGAATAAACTTAACTAAAATAAATTATTGTTATTTTTGTATTATAAAAAATTATTAAAAATATTATAAAATATAAATAATTAATCATTATTTAAAATGTTAAAAATATAAAACAATTGTATACTTTTATCTATTTAACTTTCCTTAACAAATTTCATGCATAGCACATGTCACCACTAGTTATGATTTATGACCATATCATCGGATTGTCGTTCCCAATGGTCGGGTGAATGGAGGAAAAATCAGTTACTCCCTTTGATGTAGCACTGAACTGAAACGGTGAAATCCATTGTGACTCCAACTTACATCACTTCATCCAATCAAGTGAAGCCACTTTAACAAATAGAAGGTCCTAATTCGCGGTTTTAGTCCACGCTATTTCCATTGGTGTAGCTGAATTTTTCATGGGATAACAATGTGTTAAAAAACAATCCGGAATCAAAACTGTTCTGGCCATGTTTGAACGGATTATCTGACCAAAAAAAAAATCTCTGTAAATGCAATTTCCATTTTTCATTTAAACCCAACTTTCCAACCAACATTTCGGAAGCTCTTAAATTCACATTGCTCCTAAACAATCATTTTATTTTTCATCAAAGAGAGGTCGTTTCGAAATCCTAGATCGTCATACGAGAACTCTGGAAACACTTTATATACTAATCCGTCGATAAGAAGCTGCTGAATTTGGTCTTTAGCAGCTGTTCATTATGTGGTGTAAAGCCACCAATACACACACCGACTTCGATTTGACTTTTGTTTACGTAAGAGGAGTGAGTTCGCATCACCGCCCCACACGATGGTTGACTGACACCTGTCCAGTCGCACGTGGTGGGACGTTCCCGGGTGCAATGCTAATGGGACGGATGTTAACTCTGTCCGTTAGCCTCAAAACGAACTCGGCTTTAGTATGTGATTCTCCGAGCTTTTCCTATATTCCCGCTCCCTTGGAGTTCAAATCGGAAGCTCTGACCCCTTTCTCTGCCCGAGCTCGGATCTCCACCGCCATCTCCGTTATCGGCGATCAGACGTCCAAAAATCCCGTCTTCAATATGACTATAACTTGCACAAAAAAGCACACCAAGTGGCTTCCAGAGGAAGTTCCAGAAGCCAATGACTTAATATGTAGACAACGATTAAGGAGATGCAAAGCCTTATTTGTCAAACATTCCAGGCTTATTTCTTTCTCCAAACAATTGAGCTTTTGTCCTCAAAATCCTACTAATCCAAATTAAAA